AACCCTAAACCCTAAACCCAATGACGTCCACTATTTCGTTCTAACTCTGCTCTGCCTCCATGGTCTCGTTCTGGAATCCTTGGCAAGCTGTCTTGTCATGCGAAGGGAGTGGGTTGACTTGCAGATCCCTTCGGCAAGATCAAGACACACACACACACACAGAGAAGTGCTCCGAATTTGCCGTATTTACGAACATATCCGAAACTCCTGAACCCTCGAAAGTACCCTGAATGCCCAACACTAAACATTTAAACCAACTACAAGCCCTACTGCAATGAATAATTGCCGAAATCTGCAACACCTGATAACAAAAAAGTCTAGACTCCGAGTAAACCCGAAGAAATACCCTAAGGCATTTGACACTATGCCTGCCTGGCTCTTCTTGTGCCGCAACTCTGACAGGCTGAACTCTACTGTACAATTCCAGATCCCCACACTTTAGGGTTACGGACTTTGGGTCTGAACCCCACACCTTTGTGATTTTGGATCGTTTCGCATCTCAAATTTAGGGAAACCCTAAACCCTTTTGCATCCAGNNGGACTCTTGCCCTAAACCCTAAACCCCTAAACCCACCCTACTTAGGGGGGGACCGGACCAAGTCTTCCTGCTGGCCCAGTGGCTCTCCTTTCCCGGCTTGGCCGGCTCTGGATCCAACCAAAGAGATGGGCCCTGGCTCTCTCTGACCATGGCAGCACTACTGTTGATGACATGGATCAGGGTTTAGGGTTTAGGGTTAGGGTTTTGACAGGGTTTTAGGGTTTAGGGTTTAGGGTTTACGGTTGATGATATAGATCCTGCACTACCTTAAGGACCCTAAACTAAACTGTGGGAAGTATAGTATATTCCTTATTCTGTGTAATGCGGATTGTATATCATCGGTCGTAGTGATTGATGTTTGCAATAGGAATAGCAGTCACTAAAATTAAAAGTATATATTTATACAGGTGATAGTAGCACTGATAAGAATGACAAGATGAAGGTTGCTAGTAAGAACAGTAAGTATGATGGCATACATGTAGCGGTAGATAAAGTGTAAAACCGTGCTCGGTATTGTAACGGAAGTTGCAGAAAGAAGTGGGTCGCACTTTATCCCTACACCCACAACCCCAAACCCATTCAGACCGGCCTTGGGATCTTTGCAGATGGTCTCTGCGATGTGCGCATGGGCACACCTCAGCTTCCGTCGCCCGCCAGAGGAGAAAAGCAATCGAAAAAAACATGGCCGAAGATGCCCGGAAATGCTAAGCAGCAGGCGTCGGAGGAGAGAAGGCTCCGTTGAAGAACACCTTGACGGCGTGCGTGTGCTGTGAGCAAACGCTATGCTGCTGCTTCCGCAAGGTCAGTCTGAAAAAGCGGCATGCTGCGGAATACGCCGAGTCCGACTTGCTCTTCCGCGAAAGCCAAGCTCCATCGCCATCGGGCCTCAAACCCCAAGCATCCCTAAACCCTAAACCCCTTAACCCCTAAATCCCTAAACCCTAAACCCTAAACCCTAAATCAACGGAAACCCCAAACAGGGCCCTGGCTAGGTGTTGGTCTCGGAGAGCTGCAGCGGCCGCCGGCATCTGCATCGGGGCAGTTTTGTTCATTTTTGGAGCTTGGATTTACAACGTTCGTTAGCCCCCAAGCTCCCATAAACAAAATCCGAAGGCAGCCACCAAAAGCTCTGCAGAACTTTCTCTAAATCGATCTCCCAAACTTCCTCAGGGCTCCGACCTGGGTTACAGCATAGTTCTCTCCTGCTATTCACTTAGATTTAGGTCTAACCCTAAGCATCCCCAAACTGGCCTTAAGCACTCCAACCTCGCGAACTGCAGAAACCCGGTCCTCTTAAATTGGAGCCTGAAACTCGATGCTAAATACCTGCGCTACTTAACCCAGTTCGCGCAAACCTCTTAGAACTTGTATCCGCGCAACCGCACCAAGTTCGACACGAAACCACAGCTTGCAACATAAGTTTGAAGCTCTGAAACCCTACATCAACAGTATCAATGAAACCCCTAAACCCTCATGTAAGGCCCTAGTCTTCAGAATAGGGCGTTGAGCGTATATGATCATGTTCGTATATTCATATGGGATACTATGAATATAGTTACTCAGGCGCCTCAGAGTATATTATAGTAATTGTTAACATGTTCATATTAAAGACTCCTTGGGAATAATATATGGGCAGTTCTCTAAACTAGGACCCCTCTGTAGGTCCCAAACATAGTACGGCACCCTTATAAAATGAAACCCAAAGTGGGTAGAAACCCTAGACTCCTAAACATTAAAGCCTTTTGAATATTGTATGACTTATTCAGGCGCCCGAAAACACTACCCTTATAGAAACCTTTATAGATCCCTTTAAGGACCATAAATTGAAAAGGGATCTATTCAGGCTCCCAAAAAAAGCCTACCCAAAAAGTAGAAACCCTAAGCCCTAACCCCTTTTGAATATCATATGACTCAGTCAGAGGCGCCCAAAAATACGCAAGGCTTCCGCCTCACGGGCCCAGGCCGTCACCGAGGCCACGTCCGAGAGCCGGCCGCGGGTGGCCGCGATGGCCTCGTGCGGCGGGCTCTTTAAGGGAGGACCCCCATTTAAGGTTTAGGGGTTGAGGGGAAGACCCCTTCTCAGGTTTAGGAGTTTAGGGTTTAGGGTTTAGGGGTTAGGGTTTAGATGTTAGGGGTTAGGGTTTAGGGTTTCGGGGAAGACCCCTGAGGGATTCATTATACTTAGAAAGGGCTCTTTGAGGGAAGACAAGGGAAGACCCCTTTAAGGTGTAGGGGCCTGTCCACCACTGGGACCTTTGCTTGTGGCGGATTTTTGAGCTGCTTGCTGAGTCCAGCGGTATGTATGGACAGAAAGAAACACTTCAGGAGGAGGGGCCTGAGCTGAGCGTTGAGATCTGCAATCGACTATGGGCTTACTTTTTGGAAAGTCGAAGGCGTTCAGCCAGAATCGGTAAAGCCTGAGGCTTTGGGTTTCGGGTTCGCGAATCGCTACAGTGACAGACTGGCCATTGTCTCATTGACAATGTCGTGCGCCAGTGGTAGCACATGTTGCCAAATGACTGGTGCTGAGCCCCGTACTTGCGCCACTGACATAGCAGGTGTCTCTGCAATCAGTGGCGCATCCTCGGCGCAAGAAGCAGGTCATTCGAGCATTTCGAAATTCGAGACCCGTTCACTGTTTCTGAAAAGATCCTAGCCACTCCTCGAGCGTCGCAGGAGGTAAAGCTTTCCAAGTCCTCTCGTCTGATTGTCTTGGTTGCGATGTGTGTTCGGACTGACTAGCGATAGATTCATTCGAGGTGTGCGACAGCTGCACGACAGGGGCGAGAAAACACGTTCTTTACACCGAGAGGACCTGCATCTGTGGCTATGCCGAGTTGGCAGTGTTGTCTTGACTGCCTGAAGCAGTGACATGACTGACTTCAGGTGCCAACGCTAACGAGCAACCTGCTGGAGAAAGCTTGGCTGAGGCCACTGCAGCTCGGTCCTCAATCTCTGGGAAGCACATGGCGGCGCAACAGGACAACCAAAGGCAACAACAGAGAACTGCTCGTGCAGCTTGCAGTTCGGGCTAAGCTGCCTTATGGGACAACATACTTCAAGCATGCTCTGGAATGGTCTCTGTCTCTACAAATGCCCCGAAGGCAGGTTAGTTGAGGAACATCTTGCTCGGGTGTCTCTGTGCACCAAATCACTTGGAGGGGCAACAGGTTGTCCTACCTGAAGCTGCGCAGATCAGGCGTGTGGTGGCAAAGTGCAGGAAGGCAACTGCTTTCCTTGTTGGCTGCAACAACATCCTCTGCTTAATGCCCCCTCGAGTGTACCCAGGTCTGCAGAAGCTGCAGTATCAAGTCTTCGGGGCTTAAGCTACCCGGCGTGGGCTTCGTACTAATGCGGATCTGGAATAGTTGCATGATGGTCGATCCGAGGGTTGCCGGAGCATCAAAACCTCAACTTGGGCGAACTCCGCCTATAAGCCCTCAGGTTGCAGCGTGTCGGGTTTTAACTTTGGGGTTTGGGGCTTGGGGTTCATCCCTGATGCCCGGCACGCTGAGACCATCTGAAACCTTAAACTTCAGGCCCAAAGGCTCTGATGCGGCGGCAGCCCCGGAAACGCCTAGAGCGGAGCCCCACCGCCACATAAGAGCGATGCGAAAGCACACATTCATGATTTCCGAATCTCAAAACCTTAAACCTTGAATATCAAAAACCCAAACCACGAAACCGAAATATCGAATGACTTGCGCGGAACGACCTTAAACACACACAGCTCGAAGAAATACTCGCGAGAGCTTCAATGCAATGCAGCCGCACCTTTGCGGCAAAACTGAAAGACGATCCCGTCGGCCAACCAAGGACGACGAAAGTGACGAAGGCAAAACAAGGGTTTCGACTTCAGGGTGTAGGCTGAAAAGCTTCTACCAACGTCGCGACTGCTTTACCAAACAGATGCTAGCAGGGCGCTAAGCTGTAATCAAGACATCTGAAATCTGAGCCCTGGTCAAAAAAACTGCGCCTGAGTACATAGCCCAAGCACATGACACGAAACCTTTAGTACCCTTACAGTTAATCGAGCATTAAACCATAGCCCAAGAAACTTTGAAGTGCCCTCCCCGAAAAATCAACGGCATCACTCTCGTCACCCCTGGCGCATTCTGACCCTGTTGAGGCCAGTCGCACCAGCCGACCGTGGAATCGACAGCGTGAGCGTGAGACTGGGCGGCACTCGTTTACTATATCTACTATTCGTGCTATTCGCAATATCTATTACTTCTTTACTGACAGGCCAATGCAAACGTCAACCAGTACTATAATTCCTATACTGCTCTTAGCAATACTGCTCTTGCTATTACCATTATAGCCATTATTGGTGGCAGTCGTCGTCGTCGCAGTAATGATCGTAGTAGAAGAAGATGCTGTTGCAGCTGCAGCAGCAGCAGCAGCAGCAATAATAATATGATTCTTAGTACTGCTGGATAATATCAGTATCACTAACTGTTGTCTGATTTGTCTTGCTGTTACCACCATTATTACTATTGTTGCTCTTGCTATTGCGATGTACGAGTACTGCGTATCTGTTGCTGCTGCACCGCTACTACTGTTCCTGCTGCCACTGCTGCAGCCAGCGCGAATGCTGTTGTTGTGTTGTTGGTGTCGTCGTCTTCGTCGTCGTCGTTGTTCTTGCTGTCGTTGTAGTCGTCGTTGTAGCCGTCGTCGTGGTGGTCGTGGTCGTTGTCGCGGTCGTGGTGGACGTCGTCGTCGGTGGTGTTGGTCGTCGCCGCCGCCGTCGTCGTCGCGCGATCATCCTCTTGTTTCTTCATCTTCTGGCTACATTACGGTTATTCTCGTTATTGTTGTTCTGACCGGTGCGGGGTCCTCTTGTGATGATGGACAACATTGATGAAACCTGCAAACAGCGAGAAATACGGACCTCCCCCAGGACTCGCACATCAACCTCGGTAGTACGGTTTAGCCGCCCAGGCGTATGATTGAAGGAGCTAGACAGCAGAATCCTTATCCTTACCCCTCGCACAGCGACGAAGGCTTGCCAACTACCTGATTGCGATCAGCTTGTGGTTGAAGTACAGCAGCAGATGATGAAATGGCCATGCCAAAATGCTAAATGCGCGTGCTTTGCTGCGAGGGGTGGCAGGACATCTTGACTGCCTGCACCAGGGCAGGAGGCGTGCTAAGACGCACCCTGCCTGCCTTGTGCTGACATCGAACGTGTCGCACAGCGTCTACATAAAGACATGGAAGAAACAGCGGTGCTAGCTGAGGTTGCGTTTGGCTTCTTAGCTATTTCTGCCGTACTTACCATCGGCTCACTCAAGGCCAGTTTATTGTCATCCTAAGCCAGAACTTAACTCTAAACTCAAAGCCTGAAGCCTAGATCCGAAAAACAGCACCAAAAGCCTGCACCATAGACCGTCAACCTGAAGTCTAAAAGCCCAAACCCGAAACCCAAAGCCTAAGCCCTTTTGCATCCAGGACTCTTGCAAGGAGCCGGGAAAAGCCTAAGCCCTAAACCCCTAAACCCCTGAACCCCAAACCCTAAACCTTAAACCCTAGGTGCATCTCCTTGCTGCCACTTTAGCTTCTCAGCTTCCGCTCTCCTACACCCCAGCGCTGCTCACAAGCGTGCAACCTGCTGTGCGTAGATCCTGCGGGACACAGGGACTTTTTGAAGATCCAGAGACGCAGGATTTGTTGACGAATATGGGGCTGTCGTGGTCTTGTGCAGGGCCTGCGGATCGAGTTTTCTGGAGAGCCTATAGATGCGGAACCTGCCTCCCACTACAGACCTCAACGAAAACTGCTGCTCTTGCTGGGCAGCTGGACCGTCAACCCCAGACTTCAGATCTGTTTCCCACCAAGCTAATCGTTCGAAGATCCAACAAGCCCTCTTCTGAAGGCAATCCCCGAGTTAGACCTTGGCCGGTCCTGCACACGTCCTCTCTGGACAAGCAAAACCTTGGGTTTTTCGGCAGCTCTCGCGCTCACTACTTGTATGAGGCCTTTTGAAGGTTCAAGGCATGGAATGGCGCGATCGCACACTCCTGGGTACCAAAACTAAAGTGCCCAAGTCGGTGTTGAGGGTATTGCCCTTCTTGGAACATCTCGGATTGGGACTCTGAGGTGGTCTTCGGACCATAACAGAAACCTCGTACCCTGGTAAAATTGGCGACAACTTGGCAAGCCAGTCAGGTACGTGGCGCGCTCGTGACTCTTCACATGTCAACAAGCAAGGGGAAGCTTCAAGAATGGCATGCCGGCCGCCACCTAATTTAAATGCAAATGACCACTCAACATCGCATCTGAGTATGCCGATATGTCAGCGTCCAAAGGCTCCGAAGGTGCAGCCGAGGGACTCAGCGACACGGGGTGGTATCATGCCAAGCTCTCCTGCGCACTGTGGCAAATGCTTACTAGCTGCTGCCTTTGCGATCAAGGCTACAGGTTGCTATGCTCTGTACAAACATAGCAACTCAAGCTGCTTGCCGCCTAATTGACGGTTGAAAAAGACGTACTTGCTCGCATGTTACTCTGCCTCGGCCCCATGTCCAGACCGCGAGCTGCCAGTTCCGATTTACTTGCCACGGCTGTTTATTGCATCCACTAGTCCAACTAAGCACGGCCACCAGTCGACTGTATCATCGGTGAATGGATGGACAAGGGGTTAGAGCGAAGTGGAGATCCCGGTGCATGTCGAACTTCCATCAATCAAGCCGCATGTCTCACGCGGTCCGGGATACTCGGGAAAAGAGCTCTCGCGGACGAGGGCCGCACGCGCCTGTGGTGGTAGAAAATCAAAGGTCTGTGACTTGGGGTTGAGGGCCGAGGGCTCCTAACAAATCTATCATCTCACTCCTGTAACAGCATAGAAAGACACAGTACGCACCAACCCAGTAACCTGAAAGAGGCAACCCCTCATATAAAGCGAAGGCCCAGGACAATGCCGAGGAAGGCGACCAGAGTTTTCATCCCCGGGTCTGTCACGGAAATCAGCTCTTGGAGCCTGATGGCTGGACACGGAGAGCAAGTGATCCGGCATGGGGATGACTGAGACCTCAGCATCAGGTCGGACGTCAAAGGACAAGTTCAGAAGTTGAAGGCGTTCAGTTTCGGGGGCCTCGAGTCGAACTTTCAATCTTGCGTGTATCTGCGTGAAGGTAGGCTGACTCACGCTTTCTGCACACCAGGTGCGTCAAAACGATCAAAGCTCTAAGCTTTCTGCATGGCATGGCGCATGGCCGACAGCCTCGCGGAAGGAATCCGACATGGTCGAGTGTTTCTATACACACATCGTTCATGAGCATGAGCATCTTCCATGCCAAGAGCAGTGGCAACTGAAGTCCAAGAGCGACAGGCAGACGCAAGGCACAGGCACCAACAAAGACCAAAGATTCTCCAAATGTGCGATTGCAATTTCTCCTGTGATGTTTCATAGTGGTAAGTACACCGTTTGGCACGGGTCCTTAAAAGGTACGATACGATATCTTCAAAAACCCAACGACTACCAGCGACCTACTTGACTCCCTCGCGCAGGTCCCACCTGCGTTGCCTCTGCTAAGCGCTCGTGGGTCCAGCCCTGCGGCAGGCATCAACACTGACTCTGCAGTAGCGGAGGCGCTAGCTGCACTGGTTTTCTCAAGCAGATGTAACCACAAGCCTGATGCAGCAGAACGATTGGGCTCTATCGTAGCTCAGAAGTAGAAGCTCTCGGGAGCTAGTTGGATGCAGGCTCTTCGGCGAACCTTTTCTCAAAGCCTATGGCTCTCCAACACGAGTCCTCAAGAAAGGGGCCCCTTGCTGTAAGCAAAACGCGGCATCAAGAGTCAATCCCAAGCAATCACAAGCTACCTGAAGGATGACACCAACAAGCCTGTTGCACCAGTCCAAAAACTTTCTTGACTCTTGATCCCTGTGTTGCCTTTCGGAGCTGACTTACAGCATCTAGGCCCTGTTGCTTAGCTTTCTTTGCTGAAACAACGAAGTCGGGATTGAACCTAAGCATCCAAATGCCGTTACGAAGAAACTGTACAAAACTCTTGCGGCACTCTGATGATCGCTTAGTCAAGGCATCCGACAAATTAAAATCGCTGGCAAGCCAGATGAGACGGGTCTTGACACGTCTCATTCCTTCTTTGAGCTGGTGTCCTTGGATGGCCGCTCTTGCGTTGGAGAGACCAAGGTCTGGCCCTTCATGTCGCATGACGGCATCGTAGCCACCCTTGGAGTCAGTGCCCAGTATGCCAGGCACTGCAGATGCAGCCTTTTCTGCGGCACGCAGAAAGTTGAAGCCCTTGTCGACAGTAGCACTGTTCAGCTCTGCCCACGTCAAACGTGTCTTGAAGTTGATATCTTCGGCTTCAACCATTGCTTGAACTTCTGCATCTGTAGACCCGATCGCCACGCGCTGTAGCTTCCAGGTCTTCCAGCCCATGAGAACCAGCTTGGAGGGCTCTCCTTTCGCATGAGCAGGGCCACCAAGAAAAGTGAGGATGCCTCCTGTAGACCCGCCTTTGGGGCGATTAGCGTGGGCCTGATCGCCCAACGTGATCACATGAACGTCTTGCCAATGGCGTACTCCCGGTAGCGGTTGAAACAGTAGCCGTTGAGGACTGGATCTCACTTCCGCAATCAGCCCTTGGATTTCCTTGGCCAGCGCGAACTTCGGTGCATGGGAGAGATCTGACAGGATGAGGTTGCACCGAGCGCATATTAAGGGTTGCGTCTGAACGGCCGCCCATTGCAATGCGCCAAGCGCGGCACGACAGGCTGAGACTTCTCGTTCATCCAAGGAGCTTTCAGGGCTCCGGCCTGATTGCGCCGCAAGGTGAAAGTCGGAGATCCCCTCGATGTACTGGTCCTGGTTGACCTCGATCACGTGGCCGCCGTCGGAGGACCTTCGGGAGATCACGTCCGTGCCCGCATGCCGGTAGTTGTCCTTCTTGATGGTCCCCCATTTGTAAGCCTTGTCGATCTCGGCGCGGATGGCGAGCCACTTGGGGTTTTGCAAATCGCCTGCCCGGTTGAAGTCATCTACATGGCCACCCATCATGCCAATGGTTTTGTAGCGGTCCATGTCGTTCCGCGGATTGACGACAGATTCTGACCAGATCCACATACATGGATCAGACATTATCTTTGTCGCTCCAAGGGAAGTGAACTTGGCATGAAGGTCTTGCCATAGACCACGTGGAGCCGTCGTGGACCCGTAGAAGTCCTTGAGCACCCGCATCAGCTGGTCCTCGCCGATGCCGAGGGCTTCGCGTAGTTCGGACACGCCCTGTGTCCAGATCCGCATCTGCTCCTTTGGAGCCGTCTGTAGGAACGCCGTAGAAAGGTCCAAACCCTCCAGTTGCCACCCATTGTTGACCGTCATCATGTAGGCCAGGTTGCGTGTCAACACGGACTGGACGGGTGCACTGGAGTTAAAGCCTTCACGTAGAAGATCTGGGTGTTGGTAACCCAAGAGAACAATGCGGGCCTTGGCCTTCTTCATGGAGTGGGGGTCCACGGTGGTCGCCGGGTTATTCTTGGCCTCGTTCAAGGCCTCCTCGTGTTCCTCCTCCGGGATGGGCTTCCAAGTCAAGACCCATCGACACTTCATGATTCGCCCGCTGTCTCGGGCCTCTTGCTCCTCTGCCTTGTCCAGGCAGCGGCGAACGGCTGCCTGCTGGATGAAGCTGGTCACCTCCTTCGTCTTTGCTCTTGAGAAGAGTTGCCGGTGTTCCGGCGACAGTCTCTCCCATCGCACTTCACAGTCTCGCATCTTGCCCACCAGGTAGGCCGATGGTGACCTGATGAACTTCTTGAGCTGGCGATGCGAAGCGAGGTTCAGCTCAAGCTCCATTACATAGGCATGTTCCGCTTCTTGTAGGGCCGCATGGAGGGTGAGTTCATCCTCCATCTCGTTCGCCCTTGGCTTTTTTGAAGAAGACGCTGCTGTTGTAGGTGCCTCGCGCTTTTCCCCACCTCCAGTGTGGTCGCCATTCGGGTCCAGCTCCGTGTCCCCGAAGTCCGTTCCAAGAGCCGCCGTTGGCTCTTCTTCATCCGTGCTGGGAACGTAGTCAGACCACCCATCTTCTGCACCGTAGTCGTTGACAGGAGGTGGCACAGGTACTGGTAAAGGGAAGTTTGGTGGGGCCTGCTTCCATTTCAGCCGCTTGGAAGGGACCCAGGTCTCTTCATCGGGAGCTCGTGGTAGATCAGGTTCCACATCTTCTGGCAAATCACCTGGAGGAGGTTGGCCACTGAGGTCGGTGTACTCCTTGGAGGGTATGATGTCTTGCAAAGTCTTCCACCGACTGGGATCCTCATCCACATGTAGGTGATGCCATGCTCGCTCCTGTTCGGTCACAGGGCGAACTGAGTGGGCCGAGCATCGGTAGAGCTTGCCGCCAATGACCACCCATATGATGTGCCTCCGGTGGTCATCGTCAGCTTGATGAGGCACGGTCTCTTGTAGAACGACTCGGCCAGGCCCAATCCAATGATGTCTCCCGGCCTTCTTAGTGCCTCCAGCTCGTCCACGATGGAGTTCCTGCGGAAGAGCTCGTCGCCACACCTTCACCAGGTCGACGGGGTGAAAGGTCCGGAGTGGCTGCCTCTGGATGGTGTTCTTAAGTTTCGAAAGAACCCGTTGGGCTCTCACCTCTCTGGCTTTGTTTTCTGCCTCATGTCGCAGTGAAAGCAGACGAGAGAACTCAGCAAAGGGGGCGTCGTCGCGCACCTGCGACATAGTGATCTCGTCCTCGTCGGTGTAGGCAAAGTGCTTTCCATAGGCCCACTGGTACGACGAGTAGCCCTTGACAAAGGAAGTCTGATTCAAAGCTCCTGTGGCCAGGGCCAAGCAAGTCTCGGGTTGGAGACTGGCGTTGCCAGTCTGGATCTTGTCCATCACAGCCTTCACATCCTGAACCACCGACTCGGCAGTGCCATGGGCCCAAGCCTCGGCTTCCGCTGGTGGTGCCACCCATATGTTGACACTTGAGCAGAAATCCTGGAAGTGCTTGGAGGTGTAGGACCGGGCATTGTCCGGTATAAAGATCTCGGGCTTGGGCTTGTCACTCAGCCATCTCTTAGAAAACGCCTCCACAAGTTGCAACCCGGTCTCTGTGTTCATCTCAGAGATCGCACATCGGAAGAGGGGCTCAGCGACCCGCAGCTTGGTGGCGGCGTCCACAAAGACAACGAACTTGAGCTTGCACTTGTGGGGAATGCTGGTCCACTCGCCAACATCAGAAACGACTTGCTGCCAGGCCATAGGTAGAGGCCTCGTAGACAGAGGCGGAACCTGCTTCGATGACATGCCGCCAGGTGCTGCCGACTCACAGTGGGGACAGCTGAAGTTGGCAGCTGCCTCCACCATCCACTTGGGCTTCTTTGCCTCCTTGATGATCCGGGCCAGCTGACTGTTGGAGGGGTGCCCAGCAGCCGTGTGGAAGCGGCGTAGCTTTTGCTCCCATGCCTGCCGCTCCTCAGCCGTAGGTCCATCGCCCGCATCCGGTTCATCAGCCTCGTGTCCATCTCCTTCAGGTAGATCGGCTTCCTCGCCCTCCTCGTTCGCGAAGTTGTAGAGCACACTCTTGGCACCAAAGTGTCGAAGAGGAAACAGGTGGTCCCGCCACGCTTTTGCCACCGAACTGGCAAAGCGCCATGGGTAGTCGAGACGACCATGGCTCTCCATCACCGGCACCGGAACGTGCTGGTGCTCCTGAACACAGACCTTGGTCTTGAACAAGGAGTGGAACTTTGGACACGTGGTCTTTATAGTCCACCGCTTTTTTACAAAGGGGCCTTTGTCGTCCAAGCGCAGACCGTAGCGGCAACCGTCCACCCGACATTGAAGCCAGTCTCGGTTGCGTAGCCAGACCGCCTTCTCGAGCTGCTGCATGGCCGGCTCCTTCCATCCCAAACTTTCCGTAGGCCACTCCCAAAAGATCTCCAGCAAGGAGTTCTGTTTGAAGGCCCACGAAAGGAAGCCCACCATGCGTTTCAACATGGTCCTCTCATGGCGCCGTCGGCTTTCCAGGGTCTGGCGTGCCTCCCAGGTCAAGTGGTTCAAGTAGCTCCAGGGTTGCCACCGGTCACTCCTTGGAGAAACCCATATGCGACGGGGTTGGTGTTGAAGGAATAGATCTCGAAGATGGTTGTAGGTCTCCTCCTTGTAGAGGTCCAAGCCATTCACATGATTTACGCGGAAGGACTGAAGCCCTTCTGCAAAGCACGCCGTTGTCAACATAGACGTTGTGCTGCATCCAACCTCCCATACGCTGTGCTGCCCCGGAGGAACGATGAGGGTCTGGAGCTCGTTCCGGTAGAGGTTGGTGAGCACAGTCGCCATGACCATGATGCCCTTAGCAACCTTCTTGGGCACAAGCTTGTTCACTGAGCGGCCGGGGATCCCGTCACCGACCAGCTGGTCATCGATGAACTCGGCGATGGCCTCCCGGGTGGTCCGTCCTCCATCTCCACCAGATTCGGATTCAGAAGCTCCTTGGTCGCCGGGGGATATCCCTTGGCCTTGCTCTTGGGTGCCTCCATTGGCGGCACCAGGTCGTTCACCTCCTTGGGTGGCACAGTTGCCACCGCCCGCTTCCGGTCGAACTTCTGAATCAACTGGTGGTACCGGTTCTTGGCGTACTCCATCTCGATGGCCACACGCACCATGTCCGCTTCCGGCTGCACATCCCCAATGTCCTCGTACAGCTTTGTCAAAGCTCGCCTTACAGTTGGGAAGTTCTCGGTCTTGGAGTCGGACCCGGGAGCGCCTTCCCTGGGAACGTAGGAAAGTCTGTATGAACAGACCGCGCAGGACTTCCACTGGGCGAACTTGTTGTTGCCAATCGCCACCTCGGGGTGGTTGCCGTAGCACGGCCACTGCGTCCGCAAGGCACGGGGATCTCGGGGGTCTGCCTCCACCAGGCGGGACACATCGAGCGCCGGAAGAGCACTGCCCTTGGTCTTGGGCGCCATGGTTGATCGCGGAGTCGATGTTGACGGTGTGAGGAGAGGGTCTAGTCTGCCCGCTCATCCTCGAGTCGAAGAAAGCTGGAGCGGGATCGGAATCAGGTGCATGTTTCTTCAGCATCTGCTGCATGACAGTGCGCCGCAACTCGGTATTCATGTTCTCAGAACCAACCACTGTCAACACATTCTCCGCTATCTCAATCGGAAACATGAACTGCAACGGCAAGTCATGATCTGTGCCCGGCAATGGTACGTGATCCGCAGCCCTTGTCCCTGAACCCGAGGTAAAGATAGGCTGCTTTACCACCACCGAACAGTTCCCTTGCTTGCAGGCCTGGCCTCCAGTGAGGTAGTGGACGATGTTGAGCACGAAGTGGCCTTTGGAGTTGGCGGTCAGGTATTGAGGATCATCGGGAGGTCGTTGGCGCTTGTTAGCTATGTCTGCAGCATTCAAGTAGGAACCGTCATTAAAGTCAATGATCATCCCAGCTCCACCGCTTCCGATGTGGCTCATGCCTACCAAGATAGGAACCAACATATGGGGCCTAAACCAGGACTCCACATATTCAGGCGGGTTCGGAAGGGCATACACTTCGAACTTCAACTGCTGACCGCTCACACTCGACGCCAAAGTAACATGGAACTGTGCCGTTCCCCATGCCCCAGACCCGTAACGAAAGTATGGCCGACGGGATTGGTCGATGGTGATCACCGCCTGGGAATCTTGCTCAATGACTGCTGCAATGAGCCGCTGAACACTAGCCTCCGGCCCTGCTGATGCGGTAGCACCGCAGTCCAGAAGGCCTGAAGTCGGAGGAATAGCGTCCTTCTCCGAGGACACTTGACACTCGTGCCCGGTGGCCCCCTCAGAACCAAGCATCTCCAAGCCATATGCGTTCACTCCTGGGAAGGTACGGGGATGCTTGCCTCCTTTACCCTTGATGACCGGTCCTTTGTTCATGCCGAAGTGGCTCTTGGACTTGCCCTTCTTCTTTCCTTTGCCGCCCACAAAGTAGATCGCATCATAGCCGGGCGGCTCGTACTCATAGTAGTCCGCAGCCATTGCACCCTTGGGGCGTCCTTTGCCAGCTCCCTTGCAGTCACGGGCGAAGTGACCGTAGGAGCCACACTTGTGGCACTGATCTGAAGACATAGCCGCTCTGAACGCCGAACCCTTGGCGCCGAATCCACGATCCTTCCTCACTGCAGCGGTTGCCTGCTGTGCACGCTTCCAAGTCATCGCCGCCTCGGCCGCCATGGCCTCCGCGGCCCGTTCTGCTTGAAGGGCCTCACGAACCTGATTGTCATCAAGCTCCGCCGCCGTGTAGGCATTGGGATCCGGCTCGGATGGACCCGCGGTCCACTCGTCTTGCCACGGTTCCTCAGCTTCTCCATAGAGCTGCCACTGCTCATCTCCATCGTCGTACCATTCGCTCTCGTCCCACGGGCCTTGTTCAGCCCACTGTGCCTCGTAGCCGCCCTGCTCCTCCATGTGGTACACCTGAGGGCCGCTCTGAAGGACAGGTCCTGCCGCCGGGCGCCGCGCACCAGACAACTGCTCATCCCATAGCACCTGCAAGGCATTCGAAACAGACTCAAAGTCGAGCCGGTTTGCCGTCGAAGAGAGCACGTCCCTGCGCTCCTCCAAAGACAAGCTTGCCGCCTGGAGAAGGCGCCAACCACGAAGAACGTCGAGGATGAAGCTGTCAAAGGTGTCATCCTCCGTCTGGATGCCCTTGGCGATGCGCTCTATGCCCTTGACAAGGCGTCTCGAGGCCGGAGATCCGCTCTCCTGCGGGGTCTGGCCTTCGCCTCCTTGATCTTCCGGAGGACCACGGCCCCCAATCGGGGTCGTGGCCGGTGCTGCCTCCTCCTGCTCGTAGCCGCCAAGGTTGCCCTCGCGCTCCTGGATCTCGACCGCCTCGGACTGGTGGTCCTCATCCTCGTCCTCGTACCACCCACGCTTCCACCACGGTCGGGGTGGTGTCTCCGACCACCAATCGTCCTTGTCCTCATCCTTCTTCAGAAGAGTCTCCAGGCCGAACAACTGCTTATCGACCGTCATGCCTTGTCTCTCCTCTCTCAAGCGGACCAGAGCCTCGTTGAACTCCTCAAAGCCAAGCGTCTCCCGGACGAGGAAGGTGGTGATACTTTCGCCTGGCTGCCGCTTAAACTGAAAGTACTGGGACATGATGGCCGCCGCGTTCGGGAGCGAGCGCCTTACAAGCGGGCTCTGGGCCAGCTTGCGAAGAAAGATCAGCACCCCTAGGTCGTTGTCAAACTCCGCCTGGGGCCACGACATGGCCAAGAGACGGGCACTTCCCGTCAATCTCCCGATAAGACGGGTCGCCAAGTAGCGCCTCTGGTTATGCTTGGTGCCCTGCACGTACCAAGCAACTTCACGAGCATAGCGTCGCCACCCCTTAGGGTGGCCGTCCCAGGCCGGAATGGCCGAGCCTCCTCCATCACTCCCTCCGTCTCGGAAGGGCATTGCACTCGAAACTCTCCAAAACCCGGCAAAGTCAGAAGCTTATGCGAAAACCGCACCAGCCGCGGGCCTTGCCAGCGAAGAGCTCGACGACGTCAAAGTCCCAAAGACGACCCTGGGTCCAGGTCTGCAGAGGGAGGTTCCTGAGGAGATTCTGGATCCGTTCCGTGCTCCGCTACCAGTGCAGTAGCGGAGGCGCTAGCTGCACTGGTTTTCTCAAGCAGATGTAACCACAAGCCTGATGCAGCAGAACGATTGGGCTCTATCGTAGCTCAGAAGTAGAAGCTCTCGGGAGCTAGTTGGATGCAGGCTCTTCGGCGAACCTTTTCTCAAAGCCTATGGCTCTCCAACACGAGTCCTCAAGAAAGGGGCCCCTTGCTGTAAGCAAAACGCGGCATCAAGAGTCAATCCCAAGCAATCACAAGCTACCTGAAGGATGACACCAACAAGCCTGTTGCAGACTCAGAGAGGCAACCAGGAAGCCAGAATCCATGTACATGCATGTCTGGGCGGAAGAGTGGGGTTGCTTCGCCGCAACCCATCGCAGCCACCTCTGTCGTTGTTTTGGATATTTTTTCCTTGTCCCTGCCCCAATCCTTTGAGTGTTTGGAAAGTACTTCACGCTGCCTCGCGGGTGAAAAGCAGCAGCTCGTCACAGGTGTCACCGGGCTGGAGGCAGGCGCGTGCCTGCGGCATATTCTCTCGAAAAGATCGGGTTCCTAACTTATGAACGATGCGGCCAATCCGAACAGACTACCCACTCACAAGTCGCATTGGAAAGCAAGCTTCTACTGCCAATGCTTTTGATGCATGCCGACACAATGGGCTGCTCAGATGCCGGCTTTGCTTGCCCAATGCTTCATGCCCTCGAACACGTCAGCACCTGCCAGGTCAGCGGGTCAGCGGGCAACCTGTAGGCCAAAGCGACGGTTGTGTGGACTGCAATGGATTCACACTTTTGTTTGCAGGCTTTTCGGCTTCTTGATGTTCTTGCCGTGCATAGCGATGCGTGCATGCAGGTGCAAGGGCCACCATTGAGATGATTCGCCTGCCACTATGGACTCATGTCAGACGGCCTTTGACAGAATGAAGCTACATGAGACAACGCAGTCCATGGATGTAACGGCGGCGTAGTTGATCCAACTTGGCGAAAAACGGTAGGCCAACGACAAGATCGGCAATATGGACGAAGAGCCGAGCCCTGCCAGAATGTCCGCTGCAATAGCTGCACCTGTTTGAAAACTTTGCCTCCGAATCAATCCACTACAAAGTGCTGCTTCATTGGAGCTCGAGCGCCTTCTAGCACTACCGGGCGCCATTCTTCACCTTCGAGCTCTTCTGCCTCCTTGCGTCGAAACTCCCAGCTTATGCCACCTGTAGAAAGCCCTCGGCAAAGCCGGCCGATCTCCTGCGGGCACAGACCGGTATGCAAACCGGCTTCTTGGATACTTTCGAAATCGAGCCAGGGCCCTTCAGGTGTCAGCGTTCGCGCCTGCAGTGCCTTAGGACTGCCCGTGCTCCTACGACCCTGGCGGTATGCGTGCGATAGGTTTTGCGATCTGGTGGCATACTCCAAATTCTCCATGTGGTTGTTTGCGCGGTTGGAGTCCAAGTGGTTGACAACCAGCTCGGACGATTCGGCCTTGCCCAGAAAGGTTGCGGCTACAAGGCGGTGTACGAAAAAATTATGCCCAGCCTTCTTCACTGCCCGGTATCCATCTGCAGTGTTGCTTCCGAACGAGACGTAGTCGTGCCGGGATGACTTCGACCAAACTCTTCCAAAGCTGCTAACCATGAGATCCTGGATCGGCAGACCACTGTTTGGATGTATGGCCCGCTTCCAGTCTTCGCCCGCGAGCGGATCTGGCTCCTGCTTTGCACACTTGATCTCAAAGTACATGCCGCGAGAAAAATCTCCCTCTGTTTTGCCCCAGTAACACAATGACACGGATTTCCGTGGCAGTCCTAGCACCCTCGCAGTTTCCAACTGGGATGAGCAGGTTGACCAGTTGCTTTCTCCGAGACGGCGCCACTGGACGGCCTTGCCCCGTCCAATCTCTGGCTTCTTGCGGTTCATATTGAAGTTGAACGAGTGGCGGATGTTTTCCGCGTGAGAAACATATTCCAGATTGGCAACTTGGTTGTTCCTGCGATCGCCGTCAATGTGGTTTACCTGCCACCTTTCTGGAGTCGAACCCCCAATAAAGGCTGCAGCCACTAGTCTGTGCACTGAGTAGCGCTTCCCGTCGATTGTCGCACACAAATACCCCCCGCTTTGGGGGGACCCGTAGCTGACCCTGGCCCGAGAGTCCTGCACACGGCCCAGCGAACTCACCTGCCAACCATTCGCACTCCGTCGCGTCTGGACTCGCCAAAGACTTGCACAATCAGCAATAAAATAAGGGCAAAAGACTTTCGGGTGGATGCGCATCACTATGACAAGACTCATGAAAGAGCCTCCCCCTCAAAAGCACAAGCCCAACGAGCCGCGCTTCATGAGGTCATGATAAACCTTACAAAAACTCCATGCTTGCATCTATCGAGCCAAACTCCACGGACCTGTTCAAGCACATGCACCGAAGCACGAGTGTAAATCTTGAACAGCCTAGTTCTGAGTTCTGCATTGTCACGTGGGGAGCTGCTGGGTCAACGTAGACTTCTTGAGGTTCAAGATCCGCCGCAAGCCCGTGAGTTTTCTCTTAAGGTATGAGGTCCCTCGGGCCTACAGCCCAGGTCAACGTGCCGCGGCCAGGACCGCCGAGGAGTGCCCTCAGCCTTCAGGCGGCCATAACCTACTGAATCCCTTAGCCTCCCATGCCCAACGCAGAAAAGAAGCATGGAAGATGTACCTTGAAATGCTGCAGCATATCACGGTCTCGAGAACTGCCAATCGAATAGACGATGGTCCTGTCTGACAGAAAGGAGTTGACTTAGGTCGGCACACTCTGAAGAGTTCTACCTGAGGCACAATCCATGCTGCCTTGAAGCGCTTGCCTTCCGAACCCTGGGTTCCAAACACTCAGACTTGCTTTTCTAAAGGATCCTCAAGCTTCGACACCTTAAGGTTTTCGGATTATGAGATGCTGTAGCTAGCAGCACAGAAACCCAAAAGTCAGCATGCTAGGCTAGCATCAAGACTACATGCGCATCCAATGTACATACGGAACTACACGCATACATGCACATAACTACATACATGCACCGTGCACAGACACATCGCACATGAATGTCCCGCGACGCTTCACCGACATCATCCCAGCTTTTTTTGAGACCCGGGCCGAGGTCCCAAGCTCCGGCCCTAGGTCCCGGCGCAGGCAGCCGACGCCTTGGAGGAGAGCGGGTTTAGCGTTTAGGGTCTAGGGTTTAGTCTAGGGCTTCGGGCTTAGGGTGTAGAAGGGTTGACAGTTGGGGCTAAAGGTCTGCAAGCGTTTAGGGTTCAGGTCCTGGGCCTGGGGTAGGGCTTGCTGGTTGCCTGTAGCTTTCGCAAATCGTCCATGCGTGTCTTCTGAGGCAAGGGTACCATGGACAAGGCTGGTAGGGTCGCATTGGGTCTGAAGTTTGGGGTCCAAAAGGTTCAGGGTGAACTAGGGCTGGGGACCCGCATGGCAGCCTTGAGGGACTATGGTTGTAGTCTCTCGTGGCTGTAGGGTGGATGGGCTTGGATTCACTACGATGTAGGACTCACACTGTCTAAGTCCATTTGCTCGAAAGTCTGCTGCACCTGGCATGATGCCACAGAAGCCGTGCTTGTCGCAGTCGCTTCAGATGCGGCACTTGCTACACGACATTAAATTTCCGAACTTCACGAGCCTGCTCGTCCGGACAGCGGCGACTCCTCTGTTAGCAGCTCGCACATCTCTACGCGAGCCTCCCAACAGGACTCGGCAAGGCAAGAGGAAAGTCTCGGCAGCAAGACACGGACAACTCCGGGGAATCCTAAAGACCAAGTGCTTAAGTCGACACATGCGCAGCATTTGCCTCCATGGTCTCGTTCTGCCATCCTCGGCACTCTTGCAAGGGACACATATTTCGCACAAGTTCTGAGAAGTGGGGGTGAAGTGGTTCTACTTTGGCTGATCAAGCTGGAAGATACGATCCAGGTCCAGGTGGGCGATGCATCGACAGTGGCGCGGGAATCACTTGCGGCCTGAAAACATCGCAGTTTCGTGCACATGGATCTGACAGATTCTGCCACACGATGGTCTACGTTACATTTACTCGAAGTCGCTCGAGCACGCTCTAGCAAGGCTGGGCGAATTTCGCGCCACTGTTCTCCCGGAAGCGGCTCCTCCACAACGAATCGAAAGTCCCAGTCTCGGCACGGGCTGGCCTTTCCATTGCAAATATTCGAGACAGTTGTTGAAGAGATGCCTGTGTGCAAACCAGCCGCTTGCATCGACTGGAAGTCAAGCCATGGGCCCTTAAAACTCAGCTTGCGAGCCTGCACAGCCTTGGCATTTGCATGCTTGCGCTGCTGCACTGCCTTCTGAAGATGCGAGTGCCTCATATTCTGCGATCGCGTGACGTACTCCAAGTTTTGCACATGGTTGTTGCCGCGATCATAGTCTATATGATTCACTTCAAGGACTCTTCCAAGGGGATGTTCGAGGAATGTCCTTGCCACTACACGGTGTACCAGGAGGTATCGGCCTTCGACATGAATCCTGAAATAGCCATTGGCAGAAGCAGATCCCAGCCAAATACGGTCGCGCGAGCGCCTCCAGACCCGTCCCCAGCTGCTTACCATCAGACCAGCCACTACGTCTCCTGTGTTCGGATGTTTGGCATGACGCCACTCTTCGGATAGTTCAGACACAGGAATGTGCTGAGGCAGCGGGTTTACCCACTGAGCTTCATAGCGCGCACTGCAACCGCTTCTACGTATTAAGCGTAAGCCCTTGCAACAGCTGAGCACTGATTTCCGCGATACGCCCAACTCTCTCGCCAACTTTGATTGTGATTCACAAACAGACCATTCTTGCTGCCCCACACTGCGCCACATCACTGGCTTTCCATGTCGCTTCCTTTCCGAATTGGTCCGCCAGGAATGCTGCACGTTTTCTGCTGGTGACAAATACTGCAGATTGCTGATGTGATTATTGGCAGGGTTAAGATCAATGTGGTTCACCTGCCATTTTCCTGGCTCCGGAGCGGGCAGGAATTCCCCTGCAACCAGCCGGTGCACTAAGTAGAAGCGTCCTGCAATCCTCACGTGCCGATAGCCGGAGGGTAGTGGGACACCATAGCTCAGCACACCTGTCGAAGATCTTACTCGGCCGCAGGAACTCACGTGCCAAGAACAACTTGTCGGGAGTATTTCGCCCTTGTTGCAAGAGAGATCGGCCAAGCACCGCTGCACCGCAATTTGCAACCGCCGCCCTGGGATAATGCTCAACAACATGCTGGGAGTGCCAGAAGGCCAGAAGGCTGTGCATTGCTGTTCTTTAACTGCTGTGGCCGGTTATCTAGTATAGCCCGGGCAAGCTTACTTTGGCTTGCGGCAAGCGGCTTGCTGAAGAGCCCAGCAGCAGCGCTAATCGGCTCATCTTCGGTGATGAATCTTGCCGTATCTTACGTACCAGGATGTAGTTCGAAACCCTCACAGATTGCTGCGGCCTCTCTGCTCCGACATAGCTGGCACAAGCCGGACAGATCGAGGCAGCAAGACCAAGTCTTCTCCAAGACCCTTGAACCCTAAACATTAGTCTTGCAGGACAATCTTGCAAGCTCAACACTTTGCGACGCACCTTGAACCGGGATATGTCTACGTAATAGTAACACACCCTCGAAAGCCCTGAAGCCTCAAAAGCCTTGTACAGTATGAGTAGCGCAGTGCGGTCCCAGAGTCGCTCCTTTCCGGGGCGAGCAGGCTCCGGATCCAACCAAAGAGCCGTGACCTCATTCTTGCTCTGGCTGATGCAGAAATTTTACTACTGCTGCGGTAGACTTCTGCATTTCATGTGCCTTCGTGGGATTGGTGTAGAGCCATCTCCTGTCCTTTCCTATGGTTTGCGAGACTCTCGGGCTGCTCTTACGGTGCGAGAGCCTCTCAGAAGGCTTTAGGATTCCAATCTGCGTTCCTGGTATGGGGCCATGTTAACAGTTTAAGAAAGCCCCCTCACCATCCGTCAGATATTGTTCGTACTAGCCACCGCAAGACTAACAGCCTGCTAGCGCTAGCGGCCAAAGAGGACAGAAACATTCCCAACCCTAAACCCTTCCTTTTTTGAGGAGGGGCTGCAGTGCACATAAAACCCTAAACCCTCAGAACCTTCATAAAAAGAAACATAAGACCCTAAACCCTAAAACCCTTCATAAAAAGAAACATAAAACTATAAACCCTACAACCCTTCATAAAAAGAAACCTACCCGCCGGCCTTGGGGTCCTTGCAGATTGTCTCCGCGATGTGCGCATGCGCACACCTCACAGTGCAAGTCGGAGAAAGGGAAGGCTAAGAGAACCTTCAGGGTACACCTACGGGTCAAGGCTTATAGCCCTAAGAATCATGTAGCATACGGGTTCCAAGGTTCAACATATGATTTAGGGTTCATTGGCACATACCATTTCTAGGGTTTGAGGTTGAGCGTTCCCTCAAACGCCACCCCTAAACCACGATTCTCCAAAATCGAAAGACAAGCTGGTTGAGGCGCTAAGTGCAAGGCGTCGGCGGAGAGAAAGCCCCGTTGAAGAAGACCTGAAACTTTTCGGGTTCGCGAGATCAAGACCACTTAATCTGAACAGCGAAGCACGAGCCCTACAGAACCTGGACCTAATTCCTACCCAGCCAACTGCAAGCCCCGAACACAAGACATTGACCCTTGAAAAGGGCGCCGGCCAGGTTCTGGTCTCGGAGAGCTGCAGCGGCCGCTGGCATCTGTCCAAGTGAGGTTGCTGATCTTTTCGCAGATCCGCATGCATTAAACCTCCAACTCCTCAACTACGCATGAGCACATAAAGCTCTTATGCTCGTTCATCTTATTTCGACGGGAGCTGAATTGAATAGAAGCTGCAAATATTCCACTGCCACACCCTCGTGACCCTTCCCGGTGCCTCACGGGCCCACGCGGCCACTGAGGCCACGTTCGAAAGGCGGCCGCGGGTGGCCGCAATGGCCTCGAGCGGGCTTTCACCAGAAGGCCCGACCAAAGAGTTTAGTCTGCGCTTACTTTGTGGGGCTTTGAAGAGTCCCAAACCTCTGTGGTGGAGGGTTTTGGGGGGTGCTGGTCTGAGGAGGACTTGGTGGCAAAGACTCGACTCAGGATTTCTTTTCGCAGCTGGGACTTGGGGTTGGGCTGGGACTTGCTTGCAGGCTTTAGTAATATGGAGTTCGGGCAGCCGTTCTGCAAGCTGTCGGTGTCAAGGGTTACCCTAAAGCCTGGAGAGGTTCAAGCTCAGGTTTCTTTGCGGCTCGGTGGACTTTGCGCTAACTCAAGTACCTCTGTCGGGGC